ACTCTTAGAACCCTAGGAACTCTTAGAACTCTTGGAACTCTTAGAACCCTAGGAACTCTTAGAACCCTAGGAACTCTTAGAACCCTAAGAACTCTTGGGTGTGGGTGTGGGTGTGGGTGGGTGTGGGTGTGGGTGTGGGCGTGGGTGTGGGTGGCAGAGATGCACGGGGATCGATTTTTCAAGCCCCGCGGGGCCCGCCCCGTGAAATTCACAAACCCGTCCCGCCCGAACCCCGTGTATAAGTTTTATGAAAATCCCCGCCCCGCCTGTGCCCCGAAAAATCCATACCCGCTCCGCCCGTACCCCGCACAGGCAGCTTCTTGGACCGGCCCGCCCGACTCGTCATTTTTGCGACGGGCCCCGCCCCGCCCCCGTGTAACCCGAAGAAATTTTTTATTTACTAAATACTTTTTAATCATACATTCCTTTTATAAACAGATATCTCATCACCATTCTAGCTAAGAGGCTGTTGGATATTTTTTTAAAAACTTTCATCCTCAACAACGCTGGTAGGATAGATACTTTGAAATATCAATACCCTTTCCCTTCGCAAACTTATATACTTGACTCAGGCTAAATTCGATTGTCGCAAAATTAACCATACATAGATGAGATCCTTCAAGCTTAAACTTGCACAAAGTATTAAATAAAAATGTTTCGAAGTTGAGAAGGAAATAAAATTTTACTATTGGAACTTTAGACACATTCGAATTACTTCATTTCCGGTGCTGTTCATATAATCTTAAATTGAGCTATAAAATTTTATAACGAAGTCAGGCTAAACTTGCATGAATTACTGGAGAAATCGCTGCTCCATTGTACTGTATACTAATGGAAAAGATAGATATAGCTAAAGGATTAAAATTAACTGGACCAAGGCAAATAATTGAAAACGTATCCGAAACATTTGTTAAACACTCATGAAATTTGCAGTCAATTTGAAAATTAAAATGATAAAAGATACTCTATCAAACTATTTCAAAACAAAATATATTTATTTGTCCAATGTGTTATAATTACTCGAAGAAAACATGTTGAAATTTGGCAAAAAATTTTTTGCCTGCTTCACGAAACTGACTCATTTTTTGACCGACACGTAAGACAGATCAAAGAAAAACTACCATTGGATGAAGTAATCAATGCTCTATCTGATCATATAATAATAAAAAAGTTCCTGATGTTTTGTAGAAACACAATAACCTGAAGAAAATTGGTGAAAATTAGCGAATTATC